CCCCCCCCCCCGCCCATTTGCCTGCCATACCTTATGCAAGTTAACTATGTTTTTATAAAGTTCTCAAGTAAAACATTTCATAATTATCAGGAAGACAATCCTGCTGATGTTAATATAGACCATATTTTTTGGTGTATAAGACACACTTCCTCCCTCCCCCAAAAGTGGGTGGAAATGTCTGTGCGTCTTATACGGTGAATGTTGCCAAAGCTCCACCCACCCCCGGCTCCCACCCACCGGCCTCCTTGCAGCAAAGAGCAAAGAGCCTGGTCAGCTTCAGCACAGCCTGATTTAGCACAAGCAGCTGATTGTCAGTTCAGCTGTTTCAGGCTGCAGGGATTGCCATCGCCTATTGCTGCCTCTGCACCCACCCCACCCCCCACCCCGATTTTCAGCCTCCACATCCTGTTTTCGTCCATGCGCCTCATTTTTGGCCCATTCCGATCCCCACCGCCTGAAACGGCTGAAAATGGGGCACGCAGAGGCGGCAATAGGCAACATCAATCCCTGCAGCCTGAAACAGCCGGTCGTTGGGAGGCAGATCCAACTGAGAATCAGCTGCTTGTGCTAATCAGGCTGTGCTGAAGCTGACCAGGCTGTTTGCTGCAAGGAGGCCAATGGCTGGGAGACAGAGGCAGATTTTTTTTGTTTTCCTCCCCCAAAGCTAGGTGCATTTTATACTTAGGAGCATCTTATAGTCCGAAAAAATGCAGTACTCTCTCTCTATAACGTTTGTCCTTTTCCCTTAGCCAAGAAGTGTTTTAGGAAAAGAGAAATGTCCCTTACTACGCTATTTGCTGCACTGCAAAGGGACGAGAGATTTGTTGTATAAAATGTGTGTGCAGGTATTCTTGGCTGACCAAACTCTTAATAAAAGACAATTTTTCTTGTATACCAAATTGTATGAAAAAATATTTGTCAACACAGCTTATCGGGCCATTAAATTATCTAATGTGCTTGGGTGTGTATGTAAAACTTAATGTTTGGGTTAGAAAGAAAAACGGTAGAGAAGATTTGTCTGCTCAGATTTCTGTTCAAGGCCCCAGGAAGGATACGGTCTGTGCCAGGAAATAAAACACCACCTTTGATCATTTCTCCCATGATGCACCCCACTGACCAAATGTCAACTGAAATCAAAATGCAATGACATTAACTGAGTGGAAGGAAACAAAAAGGGAGTTTGAGAAGGAAACACACAAACAAAACGGCCAGGGACAACAAAGAGGGAGGCAGGAGGAACGTAAATGGATAAAAATGAGCCACCATCCCAGTGGAGACTATTTCCTACTGCTAGATGCAGCCTTAACAGAATCAATTTCTAATTTTTATATTTATCAGAAATAAATATTAGGGCTTTAAGAAACAAATACTCTGTCAAACTTATATCCCAAGAAGGAACATTAAAAAAAAAAAAAAAGAGGAGAGAAGACAGCTACCAGAAGAAATTAATTACCAAAAATTCATCCCGCTGCAGAAGCACAAGGATACAGTCCCTTCCAGGAAAGAGGATTTTGTGGCAAACCATTTCTCCCATAATGCACCCAACAGACCATAAATCCACTATGTTTGTAGCACAAAAAGAAGAAGCAAAGCAAACTGTCACTGGAAATTAAAAGAAGCAGCAGGACATGACTGCATCTTACGGCAACGAAAGCATTAACAAAAGGGAAAAGGAATCATGAGATCGGGTGGGGGGGGTGTTTCCAGAACATACACAGGACTCCCACGACCAAAACACCTCCTGGGCAAGGAAAACAGGAGGAGAGGCTGCTGTGGGATAACATCCCCCTTTGCATATGTTACTCTCTCTTAGAATAAATTCTAACACTTTCAGAATTCTTGCATTATAATCTACCTCAAATAAAAGATAAATAGTAAGAAACTGAATTATTTAAGAAAGCCAGTACAGAAGAAGCACAAATGTTATTAGCAAGTAGAATCAGCAATTGGCAGCTTAAAAATTAATAAACTAAAATTAGTGTCAAAAATTGAGGTTTTATGAGGAAAGGGGGTCCTTTTTTCCAGAGGGGTGGCTGTGGGGGTATGTTGCCTGAATACACGGGGCTATCTGTGTATTTTCGGGATCCAATCTTGGAGCAATTAAAAGCAAAGTCTGGCAGCTCCCCAGGCTGGGTCTGGGCTCAGAAGCTAAGCTGGGCCGGGTCAGGCCAGGACGTCAGTGGGAGGACCCCCCCCCTCCTCCTCCAGGCTGGAGTGGGAAGTGAGATAATGAGCCACTTCCACCATGTGGCCAGGAAACTGAGGTGAAGGAAATTTTGCTTTTATTTTTCTTGCACCGAGATAAGCAGCCATGATCCATGCTGTGGCAATATAAGTGTTAGGTGTTCCTGTTCAGAAGAGTGTTCAAAAGTGCTCTTGAGCTTACACACAAATGGTGTGTGTGTGTGTGTGTGTGTGTGTGTGTGTGTGTGTGTGTGGAAAGGGTGCGATCCGTTGCCCTGAGTCAAGCGTAGCTCCCTGGGTTCACAGAATTTCCTTGGCAACAAAACCAAAATACACTGCTCAAAAAAATAAAGGGAACACAAAAATCTGAATGAATGAAATATTACTATTAAATACTTTGTTCATTACATAGTTGAATGTGCTGACAACAAAATCAC